TGACTTTGCATGTGGCCAAATATTAAAATTAAATGGATTTAAACGTCATTGAATCACATGAAACCTCACCAGGCCGTTGGCGCCCTCTGCAGGTATTTGTTATAATATAGGCATATTACATTATGTATTTAACAGTGTTGTTCAATAAAACCATGTACTTGGTTTTGATACCTTATTTGAGGCCAATTATTATTGCCTCATCGTTACTTTATATATAAATATGGTCATATTAAAGCCTGTTTTCCCACTTAGTTCTATTTGTATTACTAAAAAATATCAGATTACTCACTTGTCAAAATAATCAGTAGATTACTTGATTAGCAAAATAATCATTATGTTATAATATAGCAGGGGTTAGCAAAATAATCATTAGTTAAGCTCTAGATTAGTTAAAACATTTCAAAATACAACTGCATTGTTTTACTTTTTGTGATTAAAAGACAAATATTTTGTCATTTGAAAATTTCTTAAAGTATTAAAACACTGTCTCGTTCTTGTGAACCAAGTATCTGCATTGTGTCTCACATTGTGAGCTAAGTATATTGTCACACCCCTAGTGTCTATGAGAGTGATAAAGCTCATAATTTTCCAAGTGTATGATATAGCCTAGCTTTCATTCTTCAGGTCAATCATATATTCATTAAAAATAATCAGTTTGAATAAGGAAAGCGATAACTTTGCCATAGTATCCTTTCAAATGTTAAAGTTGCCACAGTCATTGCATGCTTTGCATGTGCTGCACTTTATTTGTACCATTTTGTTTTATTAGTTTATTTATTAGAATTTGAAAGATAATAACAATATCGATTGATAAGTGAGATCTGATTTTAGTCCTTGAAAACCAAAAAAGTAGTGCAAGTCCTTGAAAGTCCTGGAATTTAATTTTGCCGTATCTGTGCGAACCCTGTTCAAGTTACCAGTTCTTGGACCATTTTAATGTTTTTGTATTTGTTATTTAAACTGAACTGTAGTTTTCTGTATTTGTATATTTCCTGTTTTATATTCATTTCTTACTTTACCATTATTTCTTTTGAACAAAACAATTTCAGAAATGTCATGTTTTAGATTGTAGGTCGTCCTGTACTCTGTCAAGGGCAAAGCTAACCAGCTAAACTTGATATCAGAAGCATCCTAAATGTTGCATGTGTTTGCAGCATATTGTAGTGAGTAA